TGGGAATGGACTGGCATAACGTGTTGTTAAGACCGACTTGTACAGTTATTTGTGACACAGTTTTTTGAGGGTGGCCCCACCAATCGCTAGCTGGGACCCAATAGATTCTTGACAAATCCCCGTTTCTCTTTGTTCTTCCGTGCCAGCAAAACTAAATATTTGTCTGTTTACCAGAGATGACGCCAGCCTTAAAGAGGGTGAGGCTGAGGTAACATGTGGTAAGTGCCATTAAAAACAATGTTTTTAAAAAAAATCATATTCCACATACAGTGGGTTTAAAAAAACTTTGCGTCCCATTTTCTATTAAAATGCTCAAAAAGCTACACCACACAGAAAACGTGGATTCCTTCCCTCACCAATGATACCCATGTCATTGCTCTCATACCTCCTCCATCCATCAGAGCCTTGGCCCAATTGTTTAAATTAGAAATGTCCCCACCTAAAAAACAAAAACACGTATGTTAGGGATAAAAGGTAATTGTGGCTTGTGGAGTTAAAATAGCACATGTATTCGTTGAGGATGTGGCATACTTAGCTAAATTTACAATTACGTAGACTAGAGGTAAATACAATCTACATAAACAGTTCTTAAAAGTGGTTCACACATGCATATATAGATACTACTTGCAAGTTTGGACCAGATGGCCAATTTGAACTTTTCTTTAAAGTCATTTGATTTGGAGAGTCTATAAATAAAACAAAAACAAAAACTGGAGTCCAGTACAGCTGCTTCTGATTTATATCCCTTTAGAGTGTAAATGAGAAGTCCTTTCCATTCTCCTTTCCATTAGCGGTCCTTACATAAGCTTTCAACCTTGTCCTTGACTTGGTAGTTTTCTCTAGAACTAATATTTTCTATGAAAGAACATTTAGTCCACACGAATTTCAGCACTTCAGGTATAGGCTTCAGACCATGGACGGTAAGACTGACATTGCATGCTATATTTTGTGGGTGCAAATTATTATTTTTTCCTAAGCCTTCATCACAAGTAGACCATGGACATGTACAGAGCTGATAGGTTGCCATAGCAACACCCCTCACACTGTCGTGTTAGTTTCCTAGGTAGGTTTAGATGCCTGTGGCATTGGCTTGACACATCTCTACTTCCTGACGCAGGCAGTGTTATTTCAGGAGCAGGTGCCATGCCACTGTATTGAATTATGGCCCCTGGCTAAATGGGTTATTGCTGCAATACAGTGGGGTTTTTTTCCCCCTGAAAACAAGACTCCTTTATCTTGCTAGTTGCATTTGGGACAATACTGCTGGCTTACAAATATTTATCGGAGCGTTTCCAGCATGCATTTTCACATATAATTCCACGCATTCAGGCTCACTTCATGAAACTAAGCAGAACTTGGGCCAAAGTAGCCAAACCAAACGTTTCTGTTGAAGCTAAGCATGACTACCCTGATTTGTTTTGAAACAGATGTGTGGAAATTGCTTTTTCCACATATTTCTGGACACCAGATTGCAAGATCCCTAACCAGCCTAGTCGAAGATTCCTTGGAGTGGCAGTTAAACATCTCTGAGAATAGAAACCCCTTGCAACTTAAAACACATTTGAATCAGTTTTCATCAAATTCAGATTTTATGGTGATGTACGGTAAAATTGCTCAAGCAGAGCCATATTTGAATCACTCTCACATGTCATAAAAGTTCATTAATTTGTACAATCATACTGAATAGTTGATTACCACATCTTAGTCATGGATTTTTATGGAAATGAAGCAGATACAGACTTCATACAACATCACAGAACTTTTATTAATCAGTTTATGTGTATATTCTAGTCTAGTATTTATAATGTAAAATAAGGTCAAGGAGTCCTCAATTTATATCCTCATATGGTTATCCAACTTCCTTAGAGCCTTCTCTCTCATCTTAGATGAAACTATACTTCTTGAGCTATGCTGGCTCAGGAATTCTGGGAGTTGAAGTCCATAAGTCATAAAAGGGCCATTGTTTTCCACCCCGATCTAAGATGAGAGACAAGGCTATAAGGAAATTTATTGTTTCCCACCCCATTGTTCCCACCCCTGCCTTAGATGGTAATTATCAAGGATGAGCTAGAAGGGACAGGGTTGTGTATATTGCAGAGTTCCATGAAGAAGGTGAGATAAGTACACCACAAAAATTAATTCACCTGTGAGCCATCAGTTCTTAGTTCACACCAGTAGTGGGCTACCAGTTTGGACTGGTTAGGCCAAACTGGTAGTGGTTTGGTGGCCTGGGTCGCTGGAACCGGCAGCGACCCAGGCCTGCCACAACCCCGAACCGGTTCTCTGGGTGGCGCCATAGGTGCCACCATCTTGTTTTTCAGTTCTGCGCATGCGCAGAACAATTTTAATTGTACTGCTCATGCGCGCGCGGCATGCACACAAGGAAACCAGCAGTAGTGCCTGCCAGAACCCACCCCTGGTTCACGCATGTATGAATTTTACTTGATTTCCGTCCCCATGATTATATTAATTGATGGTTTTGGTCTGATGCACAGTAAAATAAAACTGTATACGTGCTCTTTTATTCATAGATTCAACCAGTCATCAGACAATAAATAAACCCTAGACCTCAAGTACATATCAGTTTGTACAAAACTTGCATAAATATGTATGCAATCACTTAACTATAGTCAGTCAGCTTGCAATGCAACCCATGTTTATTGTCTAATCCAGAGTAAGATGTTATTGAGCTAGTAACTTTAGGGTTTATTTGAAAAATCACACATATTATGTAGCTGATCTCATAATTGCTTCTGTACACAGCTCAATCTATCTACTTCCTGACACAGAACTTGGATTGTGTAAATTTAGCCTTTATTCTCACCCAGATGATTGCATTTTCATACATACTCAATAAATATTAATGCATACAAATGAACACCTGCGCCCATCAACCAGGGTTTAATTTAAACCTTATTTCATTATGTCAACTCACTACTAGAATATAGGAGAGGAATATTAATATGTTGCCTTTGCTTCAGATTTCAGTTTCTCTAGGCCCATGGGTTGCACTTAAATAAAGACCGTGTCTCCTAGGAAAATGATTGTACTCTTGCTCTTACTGAATCTTATGCCTTGATTACAGGCATAAGCTGTGCTTCAGAATAATAGCATCCTGTTTATGATATTGGTTGAGAAGGGAGAGAGAGAAACTTTTTCAGTGCGAAAACATTCAGTTCACTTCAATACATTTTCTTAATTTCAGGGGTGGTATTTGCTTTTAGTGAAATTGAGGGATCTGTTGTGGCCTGCCAGCAGAACTGGCGGCAGACTCGGACGATGAGGAGGTTGTGGGGTGGGGGTGGGGAACTTGGGCCAGTTCTGGAGTCTGGGGAAGGTTCTGATGCTCTGCGTCGGATGCAGAGATAGAGCCAGGGCCATTCAACATTTCCCAGCCACTGGAGAGGCAACTGCCTTTGGACGCTGATATGAGTGAAGAGGAAGAACATGATAGAAAAACACATATCATCCAGCAAGGGCTACCAACCATTCTTGCCTAGAATCTAGGATTTCTTTTAGGTTGTCAGAATACCATCTGGCTGGGAGCTACCAAATTTCAGGAGGAATCTCATTCCAGAGGGCAGGTACTGCAGTAAAGAAATCACATCCCTGAGGTCTTGATAAATGACACTGCTTAACTTGAAAGAACTTGGAGCGTGCAAACCTTGTCAGATCAAATCAGATACCAGGGGAGATAGGGCGTCCCACAAATAACCAGACCCCATGCCACATTGAATCCCATCCAGAAGCAAGCTGGCAACGAGTGCAACTTATGAAGCAGGGCTGTCATGTGGCATAACACAACATGCCCCTCAGTGCCCAAACTGCTGCTTTCTGAATCAGTTGGAGCTTCTGAGTGGGCATCAAGAGCAGCCCCATGTAGAGCATATTGCAGTTTATACAAGGAGGCTGTGTTGTGCACAAGGACCTGCACTGATTTTTGAAGAAGAAAAAAAAAAGGTAACATGAAATTTAGCATTCATTTCAAATGAGCTTGGAGAATGCAGTGGGATGCAATTAAGAGTGGCTTCATCTCTTTGATATTAAGACCATTAAAACCTGGTTGTTCAATGATGTGCAGATATCCCATTGCATGTTGTGACTGTTTATATTCAAATAATGTTTTCTTGGTTACTTAAGATTTTTTAGTGATTGATTTGTATGATTTTAACCCTGGTTCTGTAGTATGCACGTTTACTTCTTAGAGTTGAATACAAGTGGATCATTCTATAAGCCTGCAAAATAAATAAATGTCCCTCAAATTAATTGTTGAAGAAGTATCATGGTGCCTGTTTCCAAATGACTGGGTCCCAATTCCTACCAGCTCTTTTAACTACTCTAAATTTTCAATGTTGTCACAAATCTCCGAATCAAATTTGATTTGGAGACAAAAGAAAAACCCTACCATCCTTACTACAAAGCATAAAAGGATATTTCGACGCCTTCAAGATTATGTAATTCATACTTATTTCATTTGTTGGTCTTCAAATGCTGACAGAACATTGGCCCACTTTCTGCTGTCCATTTTCTTGATAACCCTGAGAGTGAATGGTGCAGCAGCTGTTTTTTTTTTGAAGCTGGACAGGATTGGCCTTGATCAGTGTGTATGTTAAGGCTAGCCAAAAACCCAATGCATGCAGCAATTAATCCTATTATTGGCGGAAAATAGGATAATAAACAAACCAATAACACAGAAAGTTTCTTTGGGAAGGAAAAATAAAATGTAATAATACAAGAAAGGGCATGTCCCATCTTACTACCTCAGGCTATTTCAACTGGACTTGTTTCTATGTGCAACATGTATACTGCAACCTTGAGTAAGGATCTTGTCCTCGGTGAGAATGTACAGAATATCGTAGAGTACGCTTTCATAACTAGTGGAAGGACTTCCAGGTTATGGAGTATAATTATTTGGGCAGCCTTTAGTCCATTTACTTGAATGTTTTGCCTTGGTGCTTTACATTGTGATGGTGCACTTATGGTCTCTGTCTTCTTCTTGCAGATCCGTACTCTGTTGCAGGCAGTGATGGCAGCATCTCTGCCTCAGTGGCCTCAATCCAACCACAGGCATCTAGCAGCTCAGCTCCCAGTTCCCCTGCTTCCCGCCATTCAGTTAGCACCCTCAAGAAATGGCTTACCAACCCCGTGCGCAAGCTAAGTGGTGGTGGGCTACCTCGGGGAGAACGCCCACTCAGGAAAACAGAAGGCCGGACAAGGCGCCACGGGCGCCAGGAGGATCGCAAGAGTATTGACCTAGGCCTCCTCAGCCAACCAGAGGAACCCTTCGCTGTTCCACAGGAGTCAATCGCCACAGTAAGAGCAAAGAAATGCATGCCTGTGCAAACAAAAGCTATTTTGTTCAGTCCCTCGTTGCAAGGAAGGATTAGACAACTGCCAGCCCTGATAGAATAGTCCATTGAATTTAGGCACAGACTAGGCCTTCTCCGGATTCCATCTGCCAGCCAATGTCGGCTGGCGACCCCCCGGGGGAGAGCCTTCTCTGTTGCAGCTCCGGCCCTCTGGAACGACCTCCCCGCTGAGATCCGGACCCTCACTACCCTCCTGGCCTTCTGTAAAGCTACTAAGTCCTGGCTGTTCCGGAAGGTTCTGGGGCTGTTGAAGT